ATTCTTGAATGTATCATTTGTGCTAATGAAGTAACCTTCTATTTTCAATTTAATAAATTTTTTAACTGGTCTTGGGGCTTGAACTCTGGGCCTGGGCTCTTTCACTCAAGGAGAGTGCTCTACCACTTGAGCTACAATAACATTTATGACTTTTTCTGTGATTAACTGGAGATAAGAGTCTTATTGACTTTCCTGACCAGGCTAGCTTCAAATTGTGATCCTCATCCCTCAGTCTCCTGAGTAGTTAGAATGACAGGAGTGAGCCTCCAGATTTCACCTTATTAAGTAATTTTTTCTTTTCTTTTCTTTTTTTTTTGGTCGGTTGTGGGCCTGGACTCTGGGCCTGGGCACTGTCCCTGAACTCTTCAGTTCAAGGCTAGCACTCTACCACTTGAGCCACAGTGCCACTTCTGGCTTTTTCTGCTTATGTGGTGTTGAGGAATTGAACCCAGGGCCTCATGCATGCAAGGCAAGCACTCTACCACTGAGCCACCTTCCCAGCCCTAATTTTTTCCTTGAATTACATAAATAGCAAGTTTTTTGGGGGGTCAGTTTTGGGGTGCTAATTCAGCCTTCTGGCTCATAGCTGGTGCTCTACCAATTTGAGCCATATCTCCAGGCCGACATTGTGCTGGTTAATTGGAAATAGATTCTTGTGCATGACTTTGCCTAAGCTGGTTTCATACCACAATCTTCCTTTCTCAGGCTCCTAAGTAGGTAGGATTAGAGGGATGAATCTCAGGAGCCGTATATAGTGAGTTTTAATAAATATTTCTAATAAGCATTTATTGAAAGAATATTCTGTTTCAATATTTAATAAAGTGAATTATATCATTATACTTAATAGAACTTTGAATTCCTAGAACTTCAAAATCATAAATAATATTTTAAATTATATTTTGATGAATATTAGTATTTCCTTAAGGTTTTACATTTATGATCATGAATAAAATTAACCTGTAATTTCTTTTTTCTTTGTACTGTTCTTTGTTGTTTTTTTTTTTTTGGTCTGGTCGTGGGGCCTGAACTCTGGGCCTGGGCACTGTCCCTCAGCTCTTCAGCTCAAGGCTAGCTCTCTACCACTTGAGCCACAGCGCCACTTCCGGCTTTTTTCTTTTTGCTTATGTGGTGCTGGGAATCGAACCCAGGGCCTCAGGCATGCAAGGCAAGCACTCTACCACTGAGCCACCTTCCCAGCCCCTGTTCTTTGTTTTTCTGTGAAGGCTATGCTGGCCTGGTAGAAAGAGTTGGAAACTGCTATTCTTGTCCTAAACTTCAAAAATGGTATCAGTTGAAATTTTTCTTCCTGTGATTTCAGTAGAATTCCTGGTGGAAAGTGTCTAGCTCTGGAACTATGCATGAAATGATTTTGAAAAAACAATTGAGCAAATTTTTTAAACAATTGTAAATTTTATATAAAACATATGTAAGATTTTAAAAATCATTTCAATTATGTTTTTTTTTAATCTAATTTTGAAAAAGTTGTTTATATTTTATTACTGTTTTGACCAGAGGAATGTGGTTTGTTCCTCTTTGTATCCCTGTGGTGATTTGCGCTTTTCCAGGAAATTCCTCTATTCATACTTTTAAACAACAAACATTTGGCTGTATATGTGCAAAATCTGTGTTTTCTATCGTGTTAATTTCTATTTTTGTCTTTTTTAAATTAAAAAGTTCTGTTTGGGGTTTACTTCACTCTTTTTTTTTTACTTCACTCTTCTGAAGATGGATACACAGTTCTTCAGTTTTTTTTCCCTAATATAAGCAATTAAAGCTATAAACATCCTTCTGATGTTTGTACATTTCCTCTGTTGGAATACTAAGTATTTTATTGCCTTATAGTTTGAAATATGTACTAATATCTAAAGCACTTCTTCATTTTTAAACATACACATGCCTATAGTCAGAGAGCATGATCAGATCAGCACAAAACTGATCTTCTGAAATTTGTTGAACTTGTTTTATGGTCCAAAATCAGCTTGTCATTTTCCACATATACAATTGGGACTTTGAAAGTATGGTGTCAATTTTTATACATATTCCTGATTTGCTTAAAAAAGAATATTTTGTATCTACTGGTCATGGGTTTTTGCTAATTTTATTGTTTAAATATTATATATCTTTATTTTCCAATACAAATGGTTTAAATCAGGGCATTATACTTGGTAGGCAGGTACTCTAATCACTGAGTAAGTCTGTCAGCTCCCTTTTTTGTGTTGGTTATTTTTGAGGTAGGGTCCTCCTAAGATCTGTCTCTCAAGAAGCTGGAATTCTAGGCATAAGATACCATGTCCAGGACATTCTTATTTATTTATTTAGCAATATACAGAATTCTTGGTTAGTAATTATTTTCTCTCACCTGAGTAACATTATTATTTCACTGTTATCTCCCACTGCTAATGTTGTAAGATTGTATGGAAGTTTACTTTTTTGATGATATTAAAAAGTATTTTAAGATTTTTCTTTATGCACATGCCAATAATAAGACCATGTGGCGTTATCCTGTTTAGTGTTCAGAGGCTTCCATTCATCTGTGGGTTAGTGTCTTTCTGGAAAATTCACAGCAATAACGGCATTTAATATTTACCCCTTTTTCCCCCTTCCCAGACATTTCATAGAATTCTCCTTAGCCATATGCTAGATTTTCCTGCTTTTTTTTTTTTAAATCTCTTCTATGTCCTATTTTCCATTTCTGTTTCTAGGCTCCATTCTAGATCAATTCTTAATTTTCCAGTTCATTCATTCATTCTTGGTTCTAACGTGCTGTTAAACCTGTCCATGAAAATTTTAGTTTCTATTTTTTTCCTCTACAAATGCTGTTTAGCATTTCTTCAAATCTTGCTCCTTCTGTTTTGATAATCTGTTTCCTGAGTCTAGTAATTATAGGATGGGACCATTTTATAGTCTAGCCTTAGTAATTCTTTTTTCTTTCTTTCTTTCATTCATTCTTTCTTTCTTTCTTTCTTTCTTTCTTCCTTCCTTCCTTCCTTCCTTCCTTCCTTTTTTTGGTTGGTTGTGGGGCTTGAACTTAAGGCTTTGACACTGTATCTGAGCTTTTTTGTTCAAGGTTAGTACTCTACCACTTAAGTCACAGTGTCACTTCTGGCTTTCTGGTGGTTACTTGGAGATAAAGAGTCTCATGGACTTTCCTGCCTGGGCTGGCTTTGAATCATGATCCTCAGATCTCAGCCTTCTGACTAGCAAAAATTGTAGGTGTGAGCTATTGCTGCTCACTAAGGCTGGGTAATTCTAACTCAATTCCAATATATGAATGAGCACACAGAGTTTCTGCTGCCTGTTCTTTCCTCATCTTGCACACAGCCTCTTATTTCATTTTATGTAAAGTGCTATTGATAATGACTAACTCATTTTCCTAGGAATATTATTTATTTGATCATTACCTATTCTCCATTTTCTTTGTTTTATATCCTGGAGTTGACCTTTCTACTCTGGTTAACTCCCTTTCATTTTCCTGTGTTTTAGGAAAAAAAAAAAACACTTTTCATGTTCCAGATTCTAGACTTCATTTGCTACTTTTAGTTTTTAATTCCAAAGTGCTTATTCAATAACAACTTCTTATCAATCTCTTTTTAATCCAACACAAATAATTACAAATCTTTCTGAAAACTGTGATTATACCTGCACATTTTTCTTATTTTCCTTAAATTACAAAGATTGCTTTTTTTTTTTTTTTTTGCTAGTCTTGGGGCCTAAACCCAGGGTCTGGGCACTGTCCCTAAGCTTCTTTTGTTCAAGGCCAATATCCCACCACTTCAGTCACAGTGCCACTTCTAGCTTTTTCTGCTTATGTGGCACTGAGGAATCGAACCCAAGGCTTCATGTACGCTAGGTAAGCACACTACCACTAAGCCATCTTCCCATCCCCCAAGATTCCTTTTGGGATCAGTCCTTTTTTATGCTCAATGGTTATACATATAAAAACAGAAGGTATCTTACTTTGGGTATGCAGAATTTTTGAGAAAAACTGACCAGTGCCCAGCCTGTTTCAATATTTAAGTATTGAATGGTACATGTAATACTTAAATATTATGAAATAACAAGTTGATATTATAAAATAAAGTTTTTATTTTAAAAAGTTTTACAAAAACTCTTCATTGGTTTCAGCAAACCACTATAAAAGATGGGACAACTGAGTAACAATTGCCTAGTGCTAGGTATCCTCACCACCTTCCCTGACTTTTCTCTAGCTGAGCATGATGGTTCTGGGGTATCTGAGAGCATTTTCCTGAATATCTTTTTTTTCGTGAAAACTCTTTTGCCTTTCAGTGGTCCAGTGGGGAGCCTCAGTTCTACAGACACATCCACTACAGACACATCCACTAGCTCAAAGTGATTTTCTTCTTCAAACATAGCAACTGAAAAATATGTTATCAGCCCACTGTGCTCATGAAATTAACAAAGCCCAGCCTATGTGGATGTACTCTTTTAGGATGGGAACAATGTAGTTTATGCATCTTAATGTCCTAGACAAAATTAATATTGGTAGTGCCAAAGAAGAGATTTAAGATACTATTTCATGGAGTGCTCCTGTCTTTGATAACAAAATTCATGTGTTTTATTGGCCAATGATTAAGGAAACTACTTCCTTACAGTCTGCCCATTTCAAAGATGATATGGACTATACGTCATGCAAGTTGGGATTTTTCTTCATAAATTCTAAAGTCATTTATTTTGAAGTCTTTGAACCGTTTCTTTATTTTAAGAAAATCATTTATTTGCCTTTTAATTTTTTTCCTCTTCACATATATTAAGACACAACTCTAACAATATGCAAACTCCTCCCACATAGGATTATGTTGAAATTCTTTCTTCCTTTAATATTAGCACTCAGGGTCACCAAGAATCATATCCATTTGGGGAACACTTGAACAAATGGTCCACTTAATTTGGTTTGTTCAGTGAATTCCTTCATCAGCCATTGATTCATCTTCCCTCTCTCTCACTCCCCCATTTACAGCTATAGAAACAGACTTTCTTACTTGGATTATTGTGTCCAGAAGATACAAGCTGAGAGTCCTGAAAGAATAAGAAATATCAATTAATTTGACTATTTTGGCTTTTTAATCCCACACTGAATATGAGATATTTTACTGATCATTCAGAAGCAAGTCATTGATCATAACTACCATCTACTGTCATGAGACTATGCTTGTTAAGTAGTTCTGAGAAAATAGTTCATAACCACATTTATTTTGTATTAATGACTTTTGTTTTATTTATTGAGGTGAAATTCATATAACATAAATCATTTTGAAGAAAACAATTCAATGGCATTTAGTGCATTCACAATGCTGTATAACCATCACCTCTATCTAGTTGCAAAGTACTTTCATCACTCCCAAATAAGGACTCCTACCCATTAAGCAATGGCTCCTCATTTCACTTTTCCTTTCAGTGACTAATTTTCATCTTTGTCTATGGATTTAACTATTTTACATATTTTGTATAAACAGAATCATATAGTACAGGACCTTTTAGATATGGCTTCTTTCAATTAGCATAATATACCTGAGTTATTGGCTTATTTCACTTAATATGATTTTTATGTTTGGAAAATATATACCATATTGTTTTTATCCATTTGTCTATTGATGGGTGTTTGGACAATTTCTACCTTATAGCTAACATAAACACTGCTTTTATGAATACATATACATTCATTTCTTTTCTGTACATACTTATGAGTGAAATTTTGGGGTCATAATCCATGTAAAATTTTGCATTCCTACCACAAATGCATGAAGGTTCCAATTTCTCCAGAGCCTCAACAACACTTGTTATTTCCTGTTTTTTAAAAAAATCTAGCCAGCCTTGTGGGGATAGAGTGGTATCTCACTGAGTTTTGACTTACCTAAAAACTAGTGTCATTGAGCATTTTTTTCAAGTGTTTGTTGGCTATTTGTAAATATTCTTTGAATAGGTACCTATGCAATTCCTTTGCCATTTTTAATATCATTATTATTTAGTTAAAAGAGTTCACTATACAGTCTGGATACTGTATCTTTATTAGACACATTACTTGTCAATATTTTCTCCATTCTCTTAATTATCTTTTCCCTTCACTGAAGTTCTATATTGAACAAAAGTTTTCAATTTTAATGAAGTTTTAAAAAATTTTTCTTTTGTTGCTTATTCCTTCAGAGTCCTATCTAAGAATCCATTGCTTAATCTGATAAAGGCTTAAGTCTGTTTTCTTTTTATGAGGTTTATGGGTTTAGTTCCTGAATATAGTTACTGATTTATTACATTATTGACTCAGAATGTAACTCACTTTCTTCTGAATGTACCTTATTGCCAGAACCTCTCTGCAGAGATTGGCAACCTTCTTTTCCACCAAAGACAATGTACTGAATGAACATCTGTTGTCAATCACACAGAGGTTGACAAAAAGATCATTACAGATACACCTTTATCTGCAAGGGTACAATTCCAGTATTATACAGTATTTTAATAGATACTACTCAGAGATTGAACCTGATTTTGTTTCTATTAAAGTGAGATGTGAAATTATGTCTTGAGAATTCACCATCACCCTCCTTTGCAAAATTCTCATTTAACATGAAATATAAGGGTAAAATAAAAAAAGACTTGAGATCATAGGCATGTAAAAATAATAGCATAAAAATTCTAACATAACTCCTTTATAATTCTGGTATGTGGAATAAAAATCCATTGAGATGGAATTAACTTCTATGATGTGGCTTAACATATTTGAACAGAATTTAATGGGGCTGAATGGGACTTATGCCATATTCAAGTTCAAGTAAGAATGTCTGTTGTAAAAAAGGAATTCCAGGGACTAGCATAAAATGAGCCAGCCTGGTGGGCAGGATCTGGGTGAGAATAGAAAAGGAGAATCCTTGCTCTGTTGGTAGATGCCAATTAAACCTCACTCAGTGTGTTGGTAAAAATGAGCCATTTATCTGAAGAAAGAACCAGTTCAAATCTTACTCTGAGGTTCAGATTTTAGAAACAGTTATATGATAAGATCTTATTCTTGAAAAATAGGCTAAAATTCAATCTACCAAAAAATGACTGGCCTATTTTGGATATATGTTATTAGATATCTACAGTTACATTCACCAGGTAAACTGCTGTGTTTTCATTCCTTTGTATTTAAATTTTAGAGTTTATATCTGAACATGTTAGTTTTATAAGGCTTTCATTTGTGACAAAAATTGTGGGCCCTAGAGGTAATGCATCTGGGCTGTATGTAAATTTCTCCTCTCATTCACCATCTGTTACCAAAAATAAAACTGACAGTTTTGAACAATAGATAATGAAAATTATAATTGTTTATTTTTAGATAATGTTAAACATGGAACTTTAGTGCAAATAACTGGTTTGAAGTTTATTTGTAGTTTTTGATGCATGCTAGCAAACTCAAGAGGGAGATATATAGTAAATTTTCTAACTCCAAAGCATCTCCTTTTACATTGGCTGGCTTTCTTTCTCATCCTAGGTTATAAAGAGAAAGGCAGAATTCTCAGTTCTGTAATGATGCTGGAATTCTTCTTTATAAATCTTTACAAAAAGTACTCAGCAAGAATAGTTACAGACCAAATCTAATGGCAACAGATTTATGGCCACCTGAAATGCTTATGAGCTGCCTATGGACCAGGACACCTCCTTCTGAAATAAGGAAAACATCCTACACTTTTTTTGAGTTCTTTATTTGCATTTCAAAACTTATGAGATTGATGGAAATGAGAGGGAAAAGGGCAGAGCAAAATCATTTTCTTCTCTCTTGGTTGGATACCTGGTAAGGGCAGCCAATTTGAAGGAGTCATGCACTGTTTTTTTTTTTTTAAAGCAAATCCAATTACTTTTGAGAGTTGAAGAATGAGGCTGCAATGCCTGTAGTGTTTGTCTATGGAATTGTAACTTCCAATTCAGTCCTCAGAGAATTAACAGAAGTAGCCAGTGCATTATCAATTGACTTTACTATGCATTATGTTTTTTAATATTCTGACAAAATGAGGAAATTATTTTCAGTATTGAGCTAAACAATTTAGTGGCACTGGAAATTTAGAATGCTCAATAAAACTGACTTTTCCTTGTGAGATCAAATAGCCCCTTTAATCCTATTAAGGCCTACATTTTATTATTTGCCAGTCTTTTGGGGGATTTTGCCTTTCAAATTCCAGAAACAACTCTAGCCCAATACTTAAGCAATAATGATAATCTCAAACTTTCATTGTCTAATTAATCAATTGCCATGTGTAGCTGTCAACATATTAATTTTGTTGAGATAAAGATTAAGAGTTACACTCTCGGACTCATGTATAGTGTGCCCATCTGCTAAATGCAAGTCCCTTGCTGGGTTCCCTCCTGGAATTTTAAGACAAACAAAGGATTTTAAGACAAACAAACAAAAGGATGCACTCTGTGAAAATTAATAACCACTTTTATATTAGGAAAAGACTGGCACTCCCAAGATATCTGCCCACTAATTCCCACAAGCTGTGAATATGTCCTCTCACTTCGAGAAAGGGACTTTGCAGAAGTCATTCCATGAATAAATTTGAGGTAGGAGATTATTCATGGAAGCCATTATAATCTCAGGGCTCCTAAAAAGGACAAGAGGATTCCAGAGAAGTAAAAGATATGATCAAGGAAGCAGAGGTGATAGGATCGTACATCCTGAGTAAGGAAGGAGGCATCTGGAAGTTGTGTCTGTGCCTGCAAGACACAGTTCTTCCCTGGGGCTTCCTTAAGGAAGGCAGCCCTGCCTATACTCTGATTTTTCTCAGTGGCGCTGATCTTAGACTTCTGACCTTCACAGTGTAAGGCAACAAGTATGTATCTGATTCATTAAATGTGTGGTAGAAACAGGAAAGATACAACTATGTTTCATTTGTACAAGATAAATGATCAGTACTTATACTGAGCCACTTGAAAAACACTATTAAAATCATTAAATACTCTTATACTTTGTAAAGGCACATATTCATACTTTCTTGGGCAAGGTAAACAGCCCTAAAGGTCAAGCAGTTCCATGAAAATCCTAGAATATAATAAACTTCTAGAACTTATTTGTCTTGCATAATTGGACCAATATTTCCTAATAATCACTGCACTATACTCCTGCTAACTACTATTATAATACTCCCCACTTCTACAAGTTTGACTACTATGGCTATTACATATAAGTGAGGTCATACAGTATTTTTCTTTCTGTGACTGGCTTATTTCAGTCAGCATAAAGTTTATGATATATACAATATTTACCTTTATGTATATGATATCTTTATGTATACCACACATATCATATATACACACATCATAGATGTAGCACATCTACCTGCGCACCATAAATATGAATGATATACAGCATGATAGACCAGAAATGTGAGTACAGTTAACAACATTATATTGATAATATTGCATGCTTAAAATCCGAATTGGAAGGTATGCTAGTAGGGCTCATTTTGGAGTTTCTTTTTTTTTTATTTTATTTGTGAAGATACTGTACAGAGGGGTTACAATTACATGAGCAGGATAATGCATCATTTTGGAGTTTCTTGAACGATGGCAGTAATCTTTTTATAAAAAAAAGCAATACGTGAGGTGGGACAGATATTGATTAGCCTGTTGTGATGATTACCTATTTTGTAAATAGGCAAATACTGAATCATCACACTCATTGCTTTAAATATGTTTTTATCAGCAATTTACTAAAATTATCAAAATGAAAAATGTTCATCTTGCGAGGTAGCTCACACTGGCCTGGTACTCATTATGTATCCCAGGCTGGTCTCTAACTTGAGATCCTTCTGCCTTTCTCTTCCTGAGGGCAAAGGTTCAATGTATTTGCTACCATGCTCAGTCTATACTAATGATATAAAATTTCTGTTTCTCTTCAAGAGTAAAGTTATTGCTTTTTCTTAAGTGTTTACATGGAAAAGGACATTCAGGGAAAGTTAGAACAAAATTTTCTTTGGGGTATTCCCAATTATGTCAAAACCAGTCACAGATACGTATATTTAACAAAAATGCTTCTTTGACTGTATTTTGGACAGGAATTATTTTTTGTCAAATCATATGCAAATATTCATTTTATTCTAAATGTGGTAAGATGCCATTGGAAACACATAATGCAGAAACTAGCTAAATTTGCATGTACTTAAAGGAGTACAAGTCTAAGAACTTCAGATAGATTCCACTTAAGATGTACAATGAGATTCTACTTTATTCACTAGGTGTTGTCAGCAAAGCATAAACAATTTCTTATCTGATTCTTTACTGAAGATGTCTGTTGGTCTCTGATTTTTTAAAAATGGTACTAGGGTTTTGAACACACTAAAGTCTTCAACTACACCATTAGCCCTTTTTGCTTTAGTTATGTTCTGGAGTCTAATGCTTTTGCCTGTAGCTAGCTATGGTCCAATGTCCTTATACTTATGATTCCTCCTACTTATGCAGCTGGGATCACAGATATGCACCAACATGCTTGTTTGTTTGTCATATCTCTTTCTATCTTCTAAGTAGCTGGGATAACAGGCATGAGCCACCACACTTGGTCTTTTTTCCTTTTTTTTGGTCTCAGAGTGCTGGGATCAAGTGATCCTCTTACATCAGTCTTCTGGATATAGGAGACCAGAGGCATATTTTACTCTACTTGTCTCAGTCTCTAAACAATAAATTATAGGGAAAATTAGAAGAATATACTAAAATATAGAATCAAGAATCCTGAAATAAATCTACGTATTTATCTGAAATTCAACTAGTGGGAGAAAAAAATGAGCTAATATATTGATAGTGTTATAATAATTACTAAAAAGACAGAGTCCTATGCTACATCATCTCCACGTACTTTTAAACCAAAAAAAACATACGAAAGAGCTAGAATAAAAGAGACTACTGTAAGCATGTTTTAACAAGGGAGACTTTTTTCCCCACTGACCTGAAAATTAAACACTTTTCTAGTATCAAAGGCACATAAATAAGGTTACAAAATGGTTCCATTATAAGTAATAGACAAATGAATAAGATATAAGGAGTTACTACAAATCATTTTTATGAAGTGGCAGTGGATATGAATGGGCAATTTGCAAAGGAAAAACAGTCCCCGTTCAAGCTTAGAAGTAATTGGGGAAATGCAAATTAGAACAATGAGATATCAACTTTTCATCCATCACACAGACACAATGATAAAATTCCAGATAATATTAATCATGTGATACATAGAAAGAACTCCTGAAATACAGCCAAGTGTAAAGGTGGTTTTTCAAGGCTCTGATGCTGTAACCACTGCTCTTGATGCCCTTATTGGGCAACTTTATTGTGGCAGGCTCTGAAGAGGTACACACAAATGGGCTGCAGTAACAGAATTTGTAATAGGCCATACGCAATCTCAATGTCCATTAAAAGGAGCTTGCTTTAAATCAGTTGCAGTAAAACTGTACCACCCAATCATTTACTGCTGTTTAGAAAGATGATGAAAATCTCTATAGGCTAGCTAGAAGATCCTCGAATATACTTTGTTAAGGGAAGTGAAAATCAACTCTTAGAATGGAATTTACTCTTATAAGAGCAGTGAATAATTATTTCAAATAATTCAATTTAGAATGTTGCAATATTGTTATTCACCAATGATATTAATGTACTATGACAATCTGGAAAAGTCTATTATAAAATGTTTTGACTACTATAGAGTTAAAGTTAAAAAATTGCACATGAAGATATGCACATGTAACTCATAGGGACAATGACTAGGTATACACTGTGACTCTTGATTGTAATCTCTGGGTTGGGATATAGACTCTGGTGGGCTATAGACTAGTTGAATTTAATTTTGTGACTGATTTTTCTGTTTTTCCTTAGCAAGCATAGGAATTACATTTTAGGTCTTAAAAATATGTTAAGCTTTAAGAAAAGGTATTCAAAAGAAGCTAAGTATCACATGTCTTAAATTCTAAGACATTCATTTTAAGGGAAACCATTAATTTAATAGTAGCTTTCCAGGAAAAAAAGGCCAGGACATACAATCTCATCGACTGTGATTGTAAGATGTGACTGTAAGATGCATTTCAATCTCACTAATGTTTTTAGATAAAATGACAGGTATAACAAGCATTGCATTTTGCAGAATATGAAACAGGTAAGAAAGACAGCCAGCTCAATTCTTTCCTTGTGATGAATAAATGTGTACTTGTAGAATGTTGAAGGTCAGATTCACATGCCTGGGACAGGAATATTGACATGGGAAAAAGATAGTGAAGAGTCAATGCATGTCCACTACAAATGACTACACCAGCAGAGCACATTCCCCACAGTGATGCAAGGACTCACCTTATTTGGAAATGGAAATTTGCTTGGTTCCACTTTGCCAGGTGCTTGAATAGCAGAAAGTGGTGGAAGCCAGGTCATCTCCTAAAGAGGGGGATAAAAATCAAACACTACTGTGATATACAGAGTATGAAATCAGGAGCATGTAGAGCAGCCGTTCAGATGTCATGATAAGGCGTGAGAAGGACACGAGTGAATAGGGTATTAAGAGATATGTGTTAAGGGATGTGAATCCCATTTTCGTGATTTGTTTTCCTAATGTGATCAATTCTCAGTTCCTTGGCCATTCTATATGTTAGGAAAGTCTTATATTCCCATTTTCATTTCATTTAAAGTTCCCTAATAAAGAGACAGCCCAATAGTATAGGTTCTATGGAAAATGCCATAAAAAGGAGGGCTGTAGACTTATTCTACAACATTCACATGATGTCTCTGAAGGAACATACAAGTGTGTTTTTAATTTTAGGTGTCTTTATTACAGTAGCCATTTATACTATTGGAGATAAAGAGTAAATTCCCACGAAGTTCCACCCCCACACTGGTCTTCCTAAAAATGGTGCAGTGAAAAAACAACCACAGACAATAAAGAAAGAATGATGTCATTTTAGTGGGAAGTATTAACAACAAACTTGAGCCCCAGAAGCAATAATTTGTCATGTACTTTTTGATAGACACTGTCACTAAACCATAATATAGAGAGGGGGCTGTTTTACTCATGTGTGGTATTCATCCTCAGCCCCCTCTTCTGGAAAAAAACATTGCCATCAATAACTGTTTCTAGGATTAAAGTGATTTCTAGTGACCAGGAAGTCAATATGAAATAGACAGACAGATAGGTCCTCACCCTCTGTTTTTGGTTTGCTTACACTTCCAAACCTAAGCAAGCACAGAAGCCATACTTGATACATTTTACGAAAATTGAGACATCCCTCTCAATCTCATCCCATCTCCCTCTCTTGAGGGAGGATGTTTCCTCACCTTTTGGTGGGTGGGTGAGAAGTTGACCAGGAATTCTGCTAGATTTGGGATATTATAAGTTAGCCACATGCTTTCTTTCCTTGGGTAACTCTCCTCCCAAGACCTCAGATGAGCTAGTAGCCACATAGATAGCTGAAAGGAGGTGTGTTTGAACACTATCCAGACCTGTAACATCTCTCTCCCTTGTAACACTGTAACACAAATGCCACAGGCAGTAGGAAGGTAAAGCAAATATGCTTTCAAAGTGTCCTTCTCCAGTCTGCAGTCACCACAGGTTTCTCTGGAAAGCAAAGGAGACCCTTTATGTCTCCTTTTCATCCTACCTCTTGCTCCCTAAGTATCTTCAAAAGTCTCACTGTACCTGCCGTTAATAAGAAGGACTGTCAGGTGTGCCCCCAGAGTGACATCTGACTTAGTTCATGGAATTAAGGTTCTGGTCATCATTCTCAAATGGTGGGCTGCTTGTGGAGGAAGTAGTCAGACCTTACCTTGGTTGTTGCCACCCAGTTAAGATACACATGGGTTTCCTTCAGCCCCTAACCTTGTCCCTTCCTATAATTTGGCTTTCCCATAGTGCCATTCCTCCCTTCTCCCCCACAAGGCATCTAATTCTTATCTTTTATTTAAATTACTGGCTAGAATGTGTAGTTGTTGTAAGTGGCAAATCTTTTGTAGAGGAAGTTGAGTCATTGATTGCACACACTTGAACTGATTTTTCTTTTCCTCCCTGTGGACTGTTCGATGTGTCCCTAAGGCCATCCTACTCTTAATCAGCCACTCAGTAGCTTCCTTCCTTTCCAGTCATTCTCTGTCTTAAATAATTTAGACTGTGTGATCCTCAGGGAACAAACCAGACAAATACAAACTAATTACTTGATTAAACATCAGACTTGCAATACAGCCTCCAGCATGTCCATGTTAATCTTGTGCAAATTATCTTATGCTTTCTTTTTATATATCAGCATGCCTATATATGTTCAGTTTGTGTTTAACTGCTATAAAACAAAAAAGATGAACTATTTCCAGTGTCCTATAGCAATAAATGAGAAGAGAAAGTTCATAAATACATAAATAAATAATAGTATGTTCAAAGGCACATTTTGTATACTGGTGACTTTCTTTAACTGATATTTTCAAGTTAATATTTGTTTCATGCACAGTTTATCCAAGAGGAAAAATAGAAAACAAGCTTCCAGAAAGTGCTAAGCTTTCTACTTTAAGGGTAGAAATGGTGTTCTCCTGATCTTTGAACTCAACCTGAACACCTAACAGACATCTTAGGTGGCTTGTTGAAGACTGTCTCCACATGGTAGGAATCATTGTTAGGTCCACTAAAAAAAATTCTCCTAAAATTTCCAATTTGGGATCAAGCCATCATTCTGTCTTCTCTGATCCTATACTTGGGCTGCAACACACCACGGCAGTGATGCTGGTTTGAGACACTGGCTCATATGGGTCCTTCATAAGAGATGGTAATCCTTCATTTATTTCTGACCTGTCTCCTGTTCCCTCTTTCGAGTTCCCCAGATACCATTCCTATGTTTGGTGACACTCCTGGAGCCTCAGTTTTGTCCTCTTTCACAACTGGTGGACTTACTTCTTCTTTTCTTTCTTCTTATTTTTTTTTGGTGCCAGTCCCAGGGATTGAACTAGTGCTCTACCACTTGAGTCACAGTTCCATTTGTTTTTTCTTTTGGGGTGTAGTTGGAGGAAAGAGCCTCACAGACTTTCCAACCTGGGCTGGCTTTAAACCACAATCCTCAGATCCCAGCCTTCTGAGTAGGTATGCTTACAGGGGTGAGCCAAAGGCACCTGGCTTTTCTCCCTTTTCACTGAAAAAAGATAAACGCTCTTAAGTTTCAGTGTCCGTAAGGACAAATCTGTTGGTATTCATGCCTATTTCCCTTCTTTCCCTCCAGCCTGACTACAGGAGCTGAGCACAGGTTGATTCCTAGCTATAGCTTCCATCTCTCCTGCTCCTCTGTCTTGGGGTATACAGCTATCAGTTCCCCATTAGTATCTTTTTAATGTCCACCTTTACTTCTTCACTGACTTCATCTCATAAGAAGTTGGAGGCCTTAGACCCTCCCTGAAACTGTACCCCAGCTCTAGCTTTTCAATAAATCTATTTGAAGATAATACACTTCTTTCCCAAAGAATCCTTTATATTTGCTGTTTTGACATCTTCATCAACTCTCTTTTCTTGACTCATCCCTAAAAATGTTTTATTACTAATTCTATATAATATCCATATATTGTTGTATGTACCTAAAGTTTAAGAATAATAAAATGGTTGAGCATAAACTGTAATCTCAGCTATTGGGGAGATAATATTGGGAAGACAGCAGCTTGGAGCACAAAAAAGTTTGTGAGACCCTAACTCAATGAAAAGCTGGCTATGATGGTGTATTCCTGTTGTCCAGCCATCTAGGAAATGTGCCAGGATGACTTCTACTTACTGGGTATTTTGTACTGAAAGAACAGGCATACACCACTATGGCACTTTGCTTTTCGTTGGTTGGGATGGCATCTTGTGGATGTTTTAGCTCAGGCTGGCCTGAAACCATGATTGTCTTGGTCTCTAGATCCTGAGTAGCTAGGATTACAGGAATAAGCCACTGTGCCTAGCCTCCATTCTTTTGTCAAAACTTCTTCCTTCACTCTCAAAGTTCCTTGAAATTTTTTTTCAGCCTTGCCACTAGTGTTCATCTACACACATCACTGTTAACAATCTTCTAGGCTGGGGGTAATGCCAAGTGTACACCACTTTAGATGTCTATTGTGCCTTTAAACTCGATGTTCCAAAGTTAATCGGAATACATTATATTTAAAGATGATAATCTATTCTCAGCAAAACTTTCCTTTTTAAGATTCTGGTTAAATGTACCAACCTTGTGCATATTAAATCTTTAAATCAGAATCCCTGGTAGCATCTTAGAGTCTTCCTTCATCACTCTTTTCCTACCCACAAGTAAAATAGTAACTCACATTTTATTAAGCACTTACAATACAAAATGTTTTACATAATTTAATTTACTTAACATAATTTATTTAACATGATTTCCTAAAAAACTCTAAAAGTGACAGCTTATTAGTTTTATTCACTGTAGGGACCAAGTCACTAAGAGGTTAAATGGTGTGCTTAGGTCCATCTGCAGTTGGGTGGTTCTCCAATGGTAATAAGACCTTTTTGTTGCTAGTCAAGGCCTATCTCATCTCACTGCTCTCCCAAGCCAATTCCCTGAAAGCACTAAGCTCTACATGTGTGAGTAGCCTCACCCAGCTTCTTGTCTTTTGGGCTGTCCATCCATCCGTGAAGACCCAGTTTCATTCCTCCTTTGCTAAGATGCCTTTGTAGGTCAAGCCAGGATTTGCATCCAACCTTCCTTTGTGTTACATTACTCCATATAGATAGGGGATATCTTTGAGGATCCTGTCCCCCTAATCTGTGAGGAACTCCTTAAGGCTGGATACTACATAGCTTGTCTGGTGGCCCTAATCCCTAATGTGGAGCCCGGAACAGAGTGTGTGTTCAGGACATTTTTGGAATGAATGTCAAGTTGAACAGCATCTCTGCAATGTTTCTCCTTACTTTATTACCTGAATTACCATTCTAACACACCATCATTATTTTCAACCTGCTTAGTAGCTTCCTGATTCACTGAAGTTATAGCCTGTCTTCCACATTGCTGTCAACTGAGTTTTCCTGAAATGCAGAATTAACCAAAAGGCTCCACCACTCTGAAATCTTCATATACCATTCTTACATACGTAACAATGATGACAGTAATAATGATATAGTTGCCTGTAGTTAAGCTTTATGGTTTTAGGACAGTTCTATGCAAATTTATGCCAACCCTTTACAGTAATTATATCCATATTAGAAGCAAGGCACTTAGAGCTCAGAAAGATTAATTGATTTATGTCAGGTCATTACACTCATAAATGTCATGCTGGAGTGAGGCCATGCATCTCCACTCCACCGCATTTTCCCTCAAAGATATTACCCTAGGATGTGAAATCTACACTAAGGTCCCTATATTCATGCCTTTTTATGGCTCTGTAATATTCACCTGCATGAAAAGTTGGTGTCTGCTTTTGCTACA